GGAATCCTGGACATATTGGACAGTATGTTATGAGACTCTGGATATTATTTAAATTTTCCATTTTGGTTGGCTTTCTCTGACACTGTTCTGACAGAGTAAGAAGTAGGGAGGGGAGGGATACTCCTTGCTGTAAGCTGGAGATAGAAGCCCAGGTTTCCCATTCAGCCTTCAGTGAGATCAGATAGAGTCTACCTGTTATTATGGTAATGGAAGTTCCAGTTCCCACTAGACCTCCACTGATACCCTGGCTTAGAGGGACTGGGTATAGTTTTACTGTTTGTTTCCTTAAGAATGACCCATTTTCAACTTAAGGACTCAGGAAGCTTCTTCCTCAAGGATTTTCCAAGCATCTGCAGCATCTGTGACCCCCGCAGGAGGATGTTGATAGGTACCTTTGTTTGGAAGGAAGACCAAGAAACAGCCAGGAATGGGAGATTATGAATCAAGAGGAACTAGATCCATATACCTTTACCTACCTAGAAGGTAGATGAGATAAATCTTCTCATTTCTAAAATAACTGCCTTTGGAGAGGGAAAGAAAGAAAGGATAATTACTCTAGATTTTTAGACTTACTGTGATAGATGGAAGTTTGGGGAGGGGGCACCATGAAAATTCTGAGGTAATGACCTTATAGAAGATGCCAGGAACACAGGAGAGTAGCAGGTTCTATGCTAATGTGCAAGCTCAGGACTTTCTTCAGTTCTCTTTACTGGTGTCCCTCTCATTTAAGTCCTCACTGCCTCCAAGGGAAACTAACTTAGCAGAGGAAGAAACAGTTTGAAGTCAGGTAGGATTTTATTTATCTTAGGCTAGATTGTTCTAACTCATCTTTGATGTTAATCCAGTGTGTTTTCAATGGCACACATTTCCACCAGTTGGCCAAAGAAAATCCAAGGCTATTTTATTACACCTAACTCTGTGGGCTAAAGTACATAAACTAGTGTGATGTTGCTATACAGCTTGACATGTGTTATTTGTTATGATAGATAGTTGGAAGCACAGTAATAGATGACCACGTTGGGCTATCCAGTTCCAGTTCTCATCAGCTAGCAGGTATAATTCCAGGTGTACTTGACATTTTCAGACTCTTTGAAAGGACGCATAGTCTAATGAGGGAGTTGGAGAGAGATACACTGGTGTGGCCTAAGATTCCTACAGTCCTGGCTTAGCATAAAAGAATGTGATTCCCTCAGAGGATAAGAAGGTAAGAGACTTTCATGAGGTATGTTTAAATTTGCTAGTGCTGTGGGTTTTGCAAATAGTTTCTGATCCTCAGGAATATTTATATGTCCATCTTTACAGCACAAGGACATTTCCTTCTTCTATATATTGTATGAAAAGAGTATAATTATTGGTAAGATTAATGTAGCAGTATGGTACCATCTTTACTTCTTTCTATGTCCAAGGATTTTGAACCTTGCATCACTTTGTTAGGATACCTCAAGGTTTCAAATGTTTGAGCCTCTTTGGTGGGCACCTGGGTGACTCAGTCAGTTAAGCATCCCACTCTTAGTTTCAGCTCAGGTTGTGATCTCATGGGTTGTGGAATCAAGTCCCACGTGGGACTCTGTACTCAGTGGGAAGTCTGCTTACAGATTCTCTCCCTCTGCCATTACCCCCTACTCACTTGCTCTCTCAAATAAACAAATCTTTTTCTTTTTTTTTTTTTAAAGCAAATGTTTGAGGTTTTGGGATCGGATTTGCAGTATTACTACCAAGGAAATACCTCTGAAAGCTCACAAAAAAACTAGTATGACCAAGTGTTGGAGTGATTCTTGTGGTAAGATTGAGTGATAATATTTGATAATTTTTACCAAATTGGCTAGTTCCTGTTGACAAAACTTTAGAAAAGTATTTTTTCCTGGAAACATTCCACGAATGTTTATCAATAGTATCATTCTAATTTTCCTAAAGACTAGTTGTTGACCAGAATATCATTGTTCACAATTAAATTCAAAATCATTGGTTGAATATATGTCCATTATTTGTGGTTTTTTTTCCCAGGAGCTGCCATATGTAGAAATTCTTTAAGCTGACTGCATTAGCAGTAGCTTGAAAGAAATAAATTATAGAGTTAAGATGGAATTGTCCTTAGAACCTAAAGAAGTTGGGGAGTCTGGGTGGCTCAATCGGTTAAGTGTTGGATTCTTGATTTCAGCTCAGGTCTTGATCTCGAGCCCTACACTGGACTCTGCAGTGGGCTGGAGCCTACTTAAGATTATGCTGAGTGAAATGAGTCAAACAGAGAAAGTCAATTATCACATGGTTTCACTTATTTGTGGAACATCAGGAATAGAATGGAGGGCATCAAGAGAAGGGAAAAATGAAGGGGGAGAAAAAAGATTGGGAGATGAACCAGGAGAGACTATGGAATCAGGAAACAAACTGAGGGTTTTGGAAGGAGAGGGGTAGGAGGATGGGTGAGCTTGGTGATGGGTATTAAGAAAGGCATGTTTGTAATGGGCACTGGGTGTTATATGCAAACAATTAATCAAACACTACATCAAAAACTAATGATGTGGGGCGCCTGGGTGGCTCAGTGGGTTAAAGCCTCTGCCTTTGGCTCAGGTTATGATCCCAGGGTCCTGGGATCAAGCCCAGCATCAGGCTCTCTGCTCAGCGGGGAGCCTGCTTCCCCCTCTCTCTCTGCCTGCCTCTTTGCCTACCTGTGATCTCTGTCTGCCAAATAAATAAGTAAAATTAAAAAAAAAAACTAATGATGTACTGTATGGTGATTAACATAACACAATAAGAAAATAAAAAAGATTCTCTCCCTCTGACCCTCTCCTCCTGTATCCTCTGTCTCTCAAAACAAAACAAAAAAACGTAAAGAAGTTAATTAGCAGTTAAGGGGAATATTTTACAGAAAATCAGAATTGTATAACATTAAACTGGAAAAAAGATAATACAATAAAAAATCAAAACAAGAAGGGACATAAACATGTGAAGGAAAATGGGACTATTACTAGAATCTTGTTTCTGTGGTCTTTAGTGGAAGCAGAGAATTATATCTGAATTTCTGGTTTTGTTTTTATTTTGCTAGTTTTCAGGCAGTCATCTTCTATGTACTATCTGCTTTCAGAGGTTCCCTGGAAAAACTGTGTTTTATAACTTTTACTGGGTTAATTCTTCCAGTTCTTATCATCTAGGGATAAGTCTTTGTGTAAGCTTACAACTATATTGGTTATCAGGAAAACTCATCAGAGTCTTTTCCAGTGAGGACCCAGGGCAGTCTTTTTTAGATTTCTTATTCCAGAATCACCTGCTTTTCCTTTTTTTTTTTTTAATTGAGCAGAGTTGACGCACCATGTTACATTAGTTTCAGGTGTACAAGATAGTGATTCAGCATCTGTATACCTTATGCTATGCTTGCCACAAGTGTAGCTACGATCAGTCATCATTCAATACCATGACAATATCATTGACATATTCCCTATGCTGTACCTTTTATTCCCATGACTGACTCATTCCATACCAGAAGCCTGACTACACAAGATCCCTCAGGTCAGATTTCCAACAGCCCAGGTAAATGGTCATGCTGGGGAACTCTTAGCACCCAGGTCTGTGTTTTTCCATGGAACAACATAAAATAGTTGTTCCTTGGAAGGAAAAAATCTTTTCCTTTATTTAAAAAAATCATTCTCTAATGAGCAGGTTTTATGGGGAAGTAGGGAAAGTGTAGTTTGGTGTCTGCTTATTGTACTATCTAATGACAAGTTTTTAGAAGCTTTAGGAATTTACTTATTTTTATTATGTTATGTTAGCCCCATACAGTACATCATTAATTTTTGATGTAATGTTCCATGGTTCATTATTTGCATATAACACCCAGTGCTCGTTGCAATATGTGCCCTCCTTAATAATGAACTAATATTATCAATTAGAATGTAAATCTACATTATGTCAACAAAAGTAAAACAATATACCTAAGTAGTGTGCATTATGAATTTTCATCTGTGGCTTTAGGACATAATATGTTTTATTATTTCTCTAAACCTGTGGGTCTCAAAGCCTGGTTCGTGGACCAGCAGCATCAGGATCATGTGGAAACTTGTCAGAAATTTAAATCCTGGGACTCTACCCAAAATCTACTGAATCAGAAATGTAGGAGTTAGGCTCAACAGTCTGTGTTTTAATAGGCCTGACAGTTAAATCACAGTCTGTGATTCTGATGCAGGCTCAAGGATGAGAATCCCTTCTCTAGACCAGTGGCTCTCCATCACAGGTGACTTTGCATGCAGCGCACACTTGTCAATATCTGGAGACATTTTTAGTTGTCAGAGCTGGGATGGAGGATGCTACTGGCCTCAGTAGGTAGAGGCCAGGGGTCCTGCTAAGCATTCTACAAATGTATAGGACAGTCCCTATGCCACAACAGAGAATTGTCCAGCCTAAAATGTCCACTGTGCCAAGGTCGAGAAACACTGACTGGCCAAGAAATTAACCTCAATTTCTGTGTGTGTGGGTGGGTGGGACATTCCATCCCCAGTTCCATAGCCTAATGCCAGTCTTAGGTGGATCATAAGGAAACAGGTTCTTAGTCTAGGTGATTTGCTGGGGCAAAAGAACCTTCCCAGTGTGCCTGTCCCAACCAGGAAGAATAACCCCACCACACTCCCAGCTGGGTTCTCCTGGGAACTTCAGAGAATCCAGGCGTCCTAAAATAACATACTGAGGGCAAGTGGGGCAATACGTCTTCTTAACAAATTTCCACTCCCTGGTTGCTCTCACTTCCCTCTCTCCATAAACTCACCCATGCTCTCCCCATCACGAGCCACTGCACTTCAGCTTACACAGTGAAACACAAAATCTCTTTATTGTTTGGGGGTTCAGATGGGTTTAGGAAAGCGCAGGAGTGGGGAAAGGACAGGCTAACATATGTCTCTTTCTTATTAACTCTCCCTGCTATTTCATGTGTACTATGTTTAACCTAACATCTGTATGTATTTGTATATATTTAATGTAATTCCAAAGTAGCAATCAGAGGAAAAGATGATCTCTGCAAACCTAATGAGCAGAACACACTTGCTGATCACTAGGGAAACAGCCACAAGAAGGAACAGAAATAATTCATAATGCCCAGAAAACATTATCCCTCCCTGGAAAATTTGTCAAGGCTCTACTAATCCATGTTGTAAGAAGTCCAGGAGAAGCTATCTGGGGCAACATGCAGCTCATGAAGCAATGTCACCAAGATCCTGGAAGTGTGGGAGGGCTCACTTATGTGGGGGCCACTGCAGGAATACCTGGGCCTGCTTCATACGGACAAATCTATAGAAGCCCATCTGCGATGTGTGTGCAGGGATGAGGGTGGCCTTGCTGACCAATCGTGCTGCTTCCCCCGAGCCCAAATAGTGCCATTTCTTTAGCAGTGGCAGAAGACGAAACAGCATCTTCTCTCCCTCTGTCCCCCCAGGCCCAGGCCCAGGCCCATCTGACATGGTCTTCCATGCAGGGCTGCCTCAGAGAGGCATGCAGTGCCACTGGTTCCAGTCACAGGGCAGGCGGATGTAGTGCAGATTATAAGACATCCGCTGCATAATTTTGTTATTCTTGTCTGTGTGTGAATACAGGGGGAAGCCGAGTTTGTGTAGAACCTGGGTCTGGTAATAGATGATGTGAGAGATAAGGCCCTGCTTCCGGTACTCAGGCACGGTCCCCGCCATCCGCATCTCCCCTGTCTGGTCCATCAGGTCCCAGGACACAGGGGTCCCCTCAGGCCCCAGCAGGCAGAAGGTGGGGAAGGTCTGGATGCAGCGCTCGATGAACCTCTGGCTCCTATCATTGCCGCCGAAATGCCAGAATTTATTCACCAAGGGAGCATGGGTAACGTCCAGGGAGGAGAGTTTAAACATCTCTTGGTTGCTGTGGAGGCCCAGGAGAAAAGTCGATGAGTATGGAGGTCTGTGTTTGTTCTCTACCTCTATTGTCTTGAAAGACAGAGTGGTCAGGGGCAATAGCAGATGCAAAGTCCCCAAGAAGGACAGAAAAAGGCCACTATTGTTGGAGTGAGTGTGCAGGAAGGACAGGATAGGTCGAAGGATTGAGCAGAAGTTGGATATACTCTAGATAAAAAAGGAAATGTAGTGTTTTAAGCAGAGGAGGAACATGGTCTGAATTACATTCTTAAAAAATGTTAATTAATTAATTAATTAATTTGACACACAGAGACAGCGAGAGAGAGGGAACACAAGCAGGGGAAGCTGGAGAGGGAGAAGAAGGCTTCCCACCCAGCAGGGAATCCCCTGCGAGTCTTGATCCCAGGACTCTGGGATCATGACCTGAGCCACCTGGGTGCCCCTGAATTGCACAGTTTTTTAAAAAGATTACTCTGGCTGCATTGACAAATATTGATTGCAGATGGGCCTGAGTGGAACTAGGGAGAGAAAATAGGAGGCTAGGTCAGTAGTGGAAGTTGTGAGTAGTGCAGGCTGACTCGCATGAAACTCACATGGCCTTGGGTTTGCCGCCACTGGGGGATAACTGCTTTACGTCCAGCAGGGAAGGAAACAGTTTCTTCACCTCATTCGCCATCATATAGAGAAAGCACCGTGTCTGCTTGACTTGGATGGATTTAGTGGTTGCAACATTCTGTATCACCTCATTCAGACTGGGCTGGGTACCTACATGGGATTATAAGGAGAGACTGATTTGAGCACATCCTGTGGAGAAGCACTCCAGGGGAGTAGGAAGTGTCTGGGATTTACAGAGAACCTAGATTCAGTGCTGCTGCGTGACCGGAGTCTCATCATCACGATTTGTGCAATTTCTCCTATTTTACATGAGTAAAAATGGGCCCAGAAATTCATTAAGTCTTTAGTGGCAAAGCAAGACTGGAACCAAGTTTTCTGGACTTCATAATCATGTAGTTTTGAAATGAAAGGAGAGGAAGGCGTTAGAAAAATAGTAGCCAGTATCCATTGTGCACTTACTATGTTCTCAGTGTGGAAGACTTTTGCAATAATGGCCTACATTCACCCACATCTCCTTGTATCCATTCCCTGGAGTAGTCCTCTCCTGCACTGCATCTGACCTTGGCCCTGTGATCTGTTTTGCCAGTGGGGAAAAATAAATTTGATGTGGGGAAAAACTTAAAAGTGCTTGAACACTGAGGCTAGCTCTCAGTGTGTGTGATCTCAGTCATTTTGAAACCAATACCATATGAATAGGCTTGGTGCTAGCCTGCCGAGGTCACGTTGCCATAGCAGCCGACACTGGCAGCCAGAACCATCATTCAGACATGTGACTGAGGCCAGGCGCATCGGTTGGCCCATAGCCCAACCACCAACTGACTGGAACTGCCTGACTAAACCCAAGTGAGATCAGCAGGACAGCCTTGCGGAGCCTAGCCCAAACAGTTGATTCACAGAACTATGAGGTTTGCTACACAGCAAAAGTTAACAGATCCATCCAGGTATCATAGTGAGAAATTCCTATTCAAGATTTCATTTAATCTTCTCAATGCCCCAGTGTTCTAGAAACTATTCCTAGCCTCATTTTTGTATATGAAAGTCATGGTGTCAGAGAGGTCAAGTCATGTGACTAGAATCACATAGCAAGTAACAAGCAGATGCCATTCCAAGGAGTCTGACTCTGGGGGCATGTCCACAACCATGACCATTGTCCTTCATGGTCTGGGAGGTGCTTTATGGCACAAGTTGTCACACTTAATCCAGGAATGGAAAGCCCTAAGGGAATGCTTTGGTACCCAATCACTTGAGGGATCCTGTTTATGCAAAATATGCCATAAATCCTTGGCTATCAAGAAATTATATTATGGTTAAAATAAAAATAAAAATAAAAAATAAAATAAAATAAAATAAAAATAAAAAATAAAAACCCATTCTTTGCAAGAGTATTTTTTTCTCCCTTTACAAGTGAGTTAAAAGTTTGGCAGCAGGCTGAGGGTCTGGAGCTTGGGGGATAGGAGATATGACTCAGGGAAAATTGTTTAGGACAGAGAAGTGAGGCTACACATATCCCATTTCTCTTACTTTGGATCTGCAAATGCTGTTTCCAGTTGATGACTTCTGGTGAGCCAAGAAATTCCTCACAATTCTTGAGGTCCTTGGAGTAGATTTGGTAAGTATTGGTGTAGTGATCAAAATCATCTATCATCTCCTATTGTCATTGGGAAAAGCAAAATGAAACAAATTCTTTATATTTCATGATTGCAATACACTTTTCTAAATTCCACTCTACTGTGACTTTTTAAAATTGAAGTAAGTTGACACACAGTGTTATGTTAGTTTCAGGTATCCAACATAATTATCCAACAAGTCTATACTTTATGCTGTGCTTAGCACGAGTACAGCTACCATCTCTCACATACAATGCTATTACACCACGACTGACTATATTCCCTATGCTGTACCTTTTATCCCAATGACTTATTCATACCATAACAGGAAACCTGTACCTCCCACTCCCCTTCACCCATTTTGCCCATCCCTCCACCCTCTTCCCTTTTAGAAACCATCAGTTTGTTTTCTGTATTTATGGATTTGTTTCTGATTTTTGTTTGTTTGCTTATTTGTTTTTCAGATTCCACATATGAGGGAAATTATATGGTATTTGTATTTCTCTGTCTGATTTATTTCATGTAGCATTATACCTTCTAGGTCCATCCATGTTGTCACAGTGGGCAAGATCTCACTCTTCTTATGGCTGAGTAATACTCCATAAACACGAAATCTTTTCTTTTTTTTTATTAATTTCTTTTCAGCATAACAGAATTCATTGTTTATGCACCACACCCAGTCCTCCATGCCATATGTGCCCTCCATAATACCCACCACCTGGCTCCCCCAACCTCCCGCCCCTTCAAAATCCTCAGATTGTTTTTCAGAGTCTATAGTCTCTCATGGTTCATCTCCCCTTCCAATTTCCTTCAACTCCCTTTTCATCTCCATCTCCTTATGTCCTCCATGTTATTTGTTATGCTCCACAAATAAGTGAAACCAATTGACTCTCTCTGCTTGACTTATTTCACTCAGCATAATCTCTTCCAATCCCGTCCATGTTGCTACAAAAGTTGGGTATTCATCCTTTCTGATGGAGGCATAATACTCCATAGTGTATATGGACCACATCTTCCTTATCCATTCGTCCATTGAAGGGCATCTTGGTTCTTTCCACAGTTTGGTGACCATGGCCATTGCTGCTATAAACATTGGGGTACAGATGGCCCTTCTTTTCACTACATCTTTATCTTTGGGGTAAATACCCAGTAGTGCAATTGCAAGGTCATAGGGAAGCTCTATTTTTAATTTCTCCCCACTGTTCTCCAAAGTGGTTGCACCAACTTGTATTCCCACCAACAGTGTAAGAGGGTTCCCCTTTCTCCACATCCTCTCCAACACATGTTGTTTCCTATCTTGCTAATTTTGGCCATTCAAACTTGTGTAAGGTGGTATCTCAATGTGGTTTTAATTTGAATCTCCCTGATGGCTAGTGATGATGAACATTTTTTCATGTGTCTGATAGTCATTTGTATGTCTTCATTGGAGAAGTGTCTGTTCATGTCTTCTGCCCATTTTTTGACATGATTATCTGTTTTGTGTGTGTTGAGTTTGAGGAGTTCTTTATAGATCCTGGATATCAACCTTTTGTCTGTACTGTCATTTGCAAATAATCTTCTCCCATTCCGTGGGTTGCCTCTTTGTTTTGTTGACTGTTTCCTTTGCTGTGCAGAAGCTTTTGATCTTGACGAAGACCCAAAAGATCATTTTTGCTTTTGTTTCCTCTGCCTTTGGAGACTTATCTTGAAAGAAGTTGCTGTGGCTGATATCGAAGAGGCTACTGCCTATGTTCTCCTCTAGGATTCTGATGGATTCCTGTCTCACGTTGAGGTCTTTTATCCATTTTGAGTTTATTTTGTGTACGGTGTAAAAAACACTAAATCTTTTCTAATCCATTCTTCTATTGATGGACACTTGGGTTGCTTCCTTATCTTGGCTATTATAAACAATGCTGCTATAAATATGGTGCATAGATCTTTTCAAATTTGTGTTTTCATTTTCTTTGGGTAAATACCCAGTAGTGTAATTATTGGATCATATGGTATTTCTATTTTCAGGTTTTTTGAGGAACGTCCTTACTGCTTTCCATAGTGGCTGAACCAATGTAAATTCCCACCAACAGTGCATGAGGGTCCTTTTTACCCACATCCACACCAATGCTTGCTCTTTCTCATCTTTTTGATTGGAGCCATTCTGATAGCTGTAAGGTTATATCTTGTTGTGGTTTTGATTTGTGTTTCCCTGATGATGAATGATATAGAGCATTTCTTCATGTGCCTGTAGGTCATGTGTATGTCTTCTTTGGAGAAGTATCTAATTCAAGTCCTCTGCCCATTTTTAAATTGAATTATTTGTTTTCTGATGTTGAGTTGTATAAGTCTTTATGGATTTTGGATATTAAGCTGTTATGGTGAAAAAAAGAACTTTTCCTCTAAGGTTAGGAAGAAGACAAGGATGTCCACTCTTGCCACTTTTTTCCCCCTAAAGATTTATCTATTTATTTCAGAGATAGAGAGTGCATGAGTGGGAAGGGTAGAAGGAGAGGGAAAGAGAACCTCAAGCAGATTACACAGTGAGTGCTGAGCCAGAGGCAGGGCTGGATCCCATGGGGTCACAACCTGAGCCGAAACCAAGAATCTGACACTTAACCAACTGCACCAGCCAGGTGTCCCCACTCTTGCCACCTTTATTCAACACAGTCCTAGAAGTCCCAACCACAGCAATGCAACAAGAAAAAGAAATAAAATTCATCCAAATTGTTAAAGAAGCTAAACTGTCACTATTTGAAGATGACATGATACTATACATAGAAAACCGTAAGACAAAACTAATACACAGAAATTGTTTGTTTATATACAAGTAAAATGAAGTGATAGAAAAATTAAGAACACAATTCCATTTACAATTGCGTCAGCAAAAACAAAATACATAGGAACAAATTTAACCCACGAACTGAAAGAGCTGTACTCTGAAAACTATAAAAACACTGAGGAAAGAAATTGAAGATGACACAAACAAAGAGAAAGATATTCCATGCTCATGGGCTGGAAGAATTAATATTGTCAAAATGTCCATACTACCCAAAGTACAGATTCAGTGCAAACCCTATCAAAATACCAACAGCATTTCCACAGACCTAGAACAAATAAGGCTAAAATTTGTATGGAACCACAAAGACCCTGGATGGCAAAAACAATCTTGAGGAAGAAAAAAAAAAGATGGAGATATCATAATTTCAGAATTTAAGATATATTACAAAGTTGTATTAATCAAAACAGTATGATATTGGCACAAAAATAAATACACACATCAATGAAATGGAATAGAGAGCCAGAAATAAACTCCTGTTTATACGGTCCATTAATCTGTGACAGACAGAGCAGGAAAGACTATCCAATGGAAGAAAGACAGTCTCTTCAATAAATGGTGTTAGGAAAACTGGACAGCTACATGGAAAAGAGTGAAACTGGACCACTTTCTTACACCATACACAGAGTACACTCAAAATGTACTAAGGACCAAAATGTGAGATATACTGTGATATTTTTAAGTACTAAAATGTTGATATTTCTATTGGTGCATTGCAATTATTCCTAAGTTATTTAAATAATGAGATAAGAGGAGAGAGTCAAGTATTCAATTTATGATAGAAAATTTATAACAATAGTACTCTCTAACCACATAGTGCATTAAAATTTCAAGTCAAGCAAAGACAATTATTAGAAAGCATTCTCCTATATTTCTGTTATTCCCAATGGGAAGAAGAGGAAAACAAGTAATAAGGAAAAGCATCTGTGGCAAGAATAAATTTTACTACAGTTCAAATACTTGCAGAACACACCAATTATGAATGTGACAGTATTAAATTTGGTTATAGCTAATTCTGGATTAAAATCACCATCTATACTTAATGAAGCCAAAGAAGATGAAAAATTAAAAATGGTTTCTTAAAACAATGCTAGAGTTAAATAAAGTGTAGCTCTAAAAAGAAATAAACCACTTATTTGAAGATCATCTCAAATTATTGAATAACAGATGAGATTATTAACTTTTTAGTTTGCTTTCTATTATTTTTTAAATTATTAATGAAATTTTTTTTTCACTTAAATTCGATTTGGTTAACATGTAGTGTATTTTTAGCTTCAGGGGTAGAATTTAGTGATTCATCAGATACATATAATACCAAGTGCTCATTACCTCAAGTGCCCTCCTTAATGCCCATTACCCAGTTACCCCACCCCACACTCCCGTCCCCACCAGCTACAATGTTTGTCCTCTGTTGTTAAAGAGTCTCTTATTGTTTGACCCTTCTCTGTTTTTATCTTTTTTTACCCTTTCCCTTCCCCTATGATATCTGTTTTATTTTTAAATTCCACATATCAGTGAAATCATATGGTATTTGTCTTTTTTTGACTTATTTCACTTAGCATAATATCCTCTAGTTCCATCCACATCATTGCAAGGGGCAAGATTTCATTCTTTTTGATGGCTGAGTAATATTCCATTGTGTATATATACCACATCTTCTTTATCCATTCATCTGTTGATGGATATCTGGGCTCTTTCCATATTCCAGCTATTGTAGACATTGCTGCTATAAACATGGGGGTGCAGGTGCCCCTTTGAATCACTGTTTGTATCCTTTGGATAAATACTTAATAGTGTAATTGCTGAGTCACAGAGTAACTCTATTTTTAACTTTTTGAAAAACCTCCACACTGTTTTCTAGAGTGGCTGCACAAGTTTGCATTCCCACCAACAATGTAAGAGGGTTACCCTTTGTCTTCATCCTCGCCAACATTTGTTGTTTCCTGCATTGTTAATTTTAGCCATTCTGACGGGTGTGAGGTGGTGTCTCATTGTGCTTTTGACTTGTATTTCCCTGATACCAAGTAATGTGAGCATTTTATCATGTGTCTGTTAGCCATTTGTATGTCTTCTGTGGAAAAATGTCTGTTGTGTCTTCCACCCATTTCTTTCGTTCTTTCCTTTTTTTTTTTTTTTTAAGATTTTATTTATTTATTTGACAGAGAGCAAGAGAGAGAGGGCACAAGCAGGGGAAGGGACAAAAGGAGAAGAAGGCTCTTTGATGAGTAGGGATTATGTCCATTTCTTTTTTTTTTAAGATTTTATTTATTTATTATTTATTTATTTAATTTATTTATTTGACAGACAGAGATCACAATTAGGCAGAGCAGCAGGCAGAGAGAGAGAGAGAAAGAGGAGGAAGCAGGATCTCTGCTGAGCAGAGAGCCCAATGCGGGGCTCGATCCCAGGACCCTGGGATCATGACCTGAACCAAAGGCAGAGGCTTTAACCCACTGAGCCATCCACGCACCCCTCCATTTATTGACTGTATTTTTTTTGGGGGGGGGTCTTGAGTTTGATAAGTTCTTTATAGATTTTGGATACTAGCCCATTATGAGATATGTCATCTGTGAATATCTTTTACCATTCTTTAGGTTGCCTTTTAGTTTTGTTTATTGTTTCCTTTGCTTTGTGAAAGCTTTTTATCCTGATGAAGTCCCAATAGTTCATTTTTGCTTTTGTTTCCCTTGCCTTTGGCGATATGTCTAGCAAGAAGCTCTTGTGGCAGAGGTCAAAGAGATTGCTGCCTGTGTTCTATTCTAGGATTCTGATGGATTCCTGACTCACATTTAGGTCTTTCATCCATTTTAAGTTTATTTTTGTGTAAAGAAACTGGTCCAATTTCATTCTTCTCCATGTGACTGTCCAATTTTCCAATACTATTTTTTTAAGAAACAGGTTTTTTTTTTCCATTGAATATTCTTTCCTGCTTTGCTGAAGATTTGATCATAGAATTGAGGGTCCATTTCTGGGCTCTCTGGTCTCTTCCACTGATCTATGTGTCTGTTTTTGTGCCAGTACCATACTGTCTTGATGATTACATTGTATTATAGCTTGAAGTCCGGAATTAGGATGCCTCCAGTTTTCATTTTCTTTCTCAACATTCCTCTGGCTATTTGTGGTCTTTTCTGGTTCCATACAAATTTTGGATTGTTTGTTCCAGGAGTCTTGTTTTTTTTAATACATTCTGATACCCGATGTCTTTGGATTGAAGCACTTAGCCCATTTACATTCAGAGTAACTATAGAAAGCTATGAATTTAGTGCCATTGTGTTATCTGTAAAGTCACTGTTTCTGTAGATTGTCTTTGTTCCTTTCTAATCTTTATTACTTTTGGTCTCTCTTTGTGCTCAAAGTGTTCCCTTAAATATTCCTTGCAGGACTGGTTTAGTGTTCATGAATTCCTTTAGTTTTTGTTTGTCTTGGAAACTCTATCTCTCCTTCTATTCTGAATGACAGCCTTGCTAGCTAAAGTATTCGTGGCTGCATATTTTCCCATTTAGCATGTTGAATATATCATGTCAGTCCTTTCTGGCCTGCAGGACTCCGTGGACAGATCTGCTGCCAGCCTTATGTTTCTACCTTGTAGGTTAAGGACCTCTTGTCCCAAGCTGCTTTCAGGATTTTTTTCTTTGTTTTTGTAATTTGCAAGTTTCACTATAATATGTTTGAGGTGTTGACCTATTTTTGTTGATTTTGAGAGGATTTCTCTGTGCCTCTTGGACTTAGATGCTTGTTTCCTTTCCCAAATTAGGAAAGTTCTCAGCTATAATTTGTTCAAATTAACCTTCTGCCCCTTTTCCTCACTCTTCCTTTTCTGGGACTCCTTTTCTATAGAAATTATTTTGTTCTGTGGAATTGTTGAGTTCCCTAAGTATTCCTTCATGATCTAATAGTTTCCTTTCCCTCTTCTTTTTGGCTTCCTTATTTTCCCACATTTCATCTTCTATATCACCAATTCTTTCTTCTGCTTCATTATACTAATTTTTATGGCCTCCTCTTTGGGCTGCATCTCAGTAATAGCACTTTTAATTTTGGCCTTATTAGATTTTAGTTCTTTTATCTCTACGTTAAGGGATTCTCTGGTGTCTTCTATGCCTTTTTCAAGGCCAGGTAGTGTCTTTATAATTGTTTTAAATTCTAGTTCAAACATCTTACTTATAGCCATATTGATTAAACACCTGGCTGTGAGTACTACCTCTTGTTCTTTCTTTTGGGGTGAATTTTTCTGTCTTCTCATTTTTGTCCAGAAAAGAAAAGAAAGAAACAACAACAACAATGAAAAGCCCCCCCTAGATCCTTGGTGTGTTTTGGTCTGCTTGCTAAAAAAAAAAAAAAAACAAAATCCCAAGATAAGAAAGAAAGAAAAAGAAAAGAAAAAAGGAGAGAGGGAGTGTGTATATATAGAAAATACAATACAATGAAATATATAATGTATATATACATATAAACACTAAATATATGTATATAAATAATGCAATACAATGAAAAGGAACAAAAAATAAAACAATAGAGATATAAAGTACATATAAAAAATAAAAAAGAATAAAAAAGAATTGAAAAAATAAAAAACTGAAAAAATAATACTAAAAGACTAAAGAATAAAAATACAAAAATGCTATATACTGTTTTCCCTAACAGCTGAAGATTTGCAGCCCTCTATGATCAGTTAACTTGGTGTAAGCAAGTTGTTTGTGCTGGTTTTCTGGAGGAGGCACCAGTTGAGTTAATTCTTAGGTGGGTTTGTCCTAGTGGAAATGCATCTCCAGTGCACAGAGAGGCAGGGCTCAGTGGGAGCAGCTCCAGACTCCACTAGGTGGCGCAGTTTTGCTCCCTGAAGGCTTTCAGCACTGAAGGAGGGGTAATGAAAATGGCCGTGCCCAGCTCTCTAGCACTAGAGCTGAAAATTCTCAGCCCCAACTCTTCAGTGAGCCCTCAGTGAAAAGCAATCAATCACTTTTGTCTCCTTGGTTTTTGTCAGAACTCTGTATTCGCCCTTCATGTGTCCAAGCATTTTTATCTCAGGCACACGACTGAGTTTCAAACTCCAAACTTTTAGGGAGTCCTGTGGTGGGGACCTGCGCTGTTCTTCCCAGGGAGGGTCTCAGTATGCTTCTGCCTTTTGCTGGACCTGTTCCCAAGAAAGCTGTCACATGACCACGCAGCCATTTGCAGGTTTATAGCAACACATAGCAGAAAGTCAGCGCCTACACTTACTGTTCTCATCTGTCTTCTCTGTTCCTACACCTGGAAGCTCTGCTGAGTACCAATTCTGCACTCAATTGCTTGTAATACTTTGCAGTAGCCTCCTTAAGCAGGCTCCTTCCTTGCATCCGTATCACCCCAGATTCAAGTCTCTGTACATCTTACCTTCCAAAGGACAGTTGCTTTTCTACTTGTAGACTTGCATTTGTTTTTTCAGAACTCTGATTGGTTTCTTGGGTGTTTAGAATGATTTGATAGTTATCCAGTTGTATTTGAGGGACAAGACAAGCTTAGGGTTCCTACTCCTCTATCATCTTAACTCCTCCCAATAACAGATGAGATTATTAGGAGGAAGGAGGCATAGGAAAATATTACCACAGCTCAGCGTAGAATTAGAAAGCTTCTTAAAAAATAATTGGAAAATGTTGCCCCAAAATACACTGACAAATCAGCAAGGATACCCACTAATACATTTTGTTCCTTAAGATCACATTTAACATAAAAGATAAAATAATTCTATTTATTTATTTATTTATTTATTTTTAAATTTTATTTATTTAACAGAGAGAGAGATCACAAGTAGGCAGAGAGGCAGGCAGAGAGAGAGGGGGATGCGGGCTCCCCGCCGAACGGAGAGCCCGACGTGGGGCTCGATCCCAGGACCCTGAGATCATGACCTGAGCCGAAGGCAGAGGCTTAACCCACTGAGCCACCCAGGTGCCCCAAATAATTTTATTTTTGTTCAGTTTTTATTACTAATACAAATTTCTTTATATATTATTTAATTTAGTGGTTTTCAAGTAACTTTATTTCTATGAAAGATATAATATTTATATTTTTATAAATTTATAATTTTACTGCATATTTAAGAATAAGCTTAGGAGTTTTTGTTTGAAATGTATTAACTGTGTAGCTTCTCTAGTTTTTAAGTGTTTCCCCAAAATGTGAGCTCCTGGGTGGTAGAGTTGGTTAAGTGTCCAACTCTTGGTTCTGGCTCAGGTCATGATCTCAGGGTCGTGAGATTTAGCCCTGCCTCAGGCTCCCCACTCAGTGCAGAGTCTACTTGAGATTCTCTCTTTCTCTCTCTGCTCCTCCCCCCCACTTATGCTCTCTCTCTCTTTAAATGTTTAAATCTTTAAATGTTTCCCTAAATGCATATGGAAGTTATAGTTTTATAAATTTCCTTTTAATGACCATTCTAACTCATCGTGCTATTTCACAACTTTCTATGTTGACCCTTGGTGTTTTTTCTCTGGTTAGAATGGCCTCTTTTTCTTTTCAGCCTAACGCTATCTATAAAATATGCCCCCAAATCCAGTGTAGATGAACCTCCATCTCCAACCTTCATAGTTGAATCAGCTTTCACCTAGGCTATTTCTGTGTTATACATCTGTTCTTGCACTTTTCACACCATGTTCTTTTATTTGCTTATGGATTTTTTTCTTCCAGGCTGTGAGTTCCTTGAGGACAGGACTTGCTCACCATCACACAATTCATTTCTGTATCCCCTGGAGCTGCCACATTTCCGAGTGCATGGCTGGCTCACAGCAAAAATGAACACAGAGGCATATTAATACAACTTCTGGCAACTTACCTTCTCCTGAGGGTGGATAACCACTGTTGTAAAGTCAGGCCACTTGTCCACTAAGGCCTTCAGCTTGAATGGATTTCCCTGGTTCATGTGGAAGACAGTCCCATAAACCTGCAGCATCCCAAGTAGGGGAGAGAGGTTTGGCTTGTTAGGAAGGGATGATAAAGTGTCTTGTTTGATCAGGACAAGGATTATTTCTATGAAATCATGGAATTTTGTGTTAAAGTAAGGCCAAATAGGACACCTAGGTCAAACTATCTCCAAGTACTACTTTTTTTTTTTTTTTTTACTCTTTAATGAGGAGAGCTTTCTCTCCCCATCCAATATGAATCATACATGCATATAGTAAAATGTTTGGACAGATAAAATTTGATGATTTTAAGACTACCATTCTTCATTTTAGGATTTAAAATGATTTATTCCAAGACTTTCTTCTTTCATACACATACAACAATTTTATAAAAATAAAATGATCTGATACATTGTGTTTTTCCCCCACTGAATGCATTGTGGGCATATTTCTATGTTCATAAACAGAAAATTTTTCAATTATTTTATAATGGCTGCATAGGATTCCATTGTAGGGATGTACCACGGTTTAATTTATTTGCCTATTGGTGGTAATTTTAGCCATTTCCAACTTTTCACTTTGACAAATAATTTTTCATACAACATGCTTGCACAGAAATCTTTGCATGGGCACCTATTTTCTTAGAATATCCAGAAGAGTAGTTGCTGGCTCAAAGATTATGTACATGTTTAATGCTCCTTAACATAAATGACCACATTATTTTTTTTAAGATTTTATTTACTTATTTATTTGTCAGAGAGAGAGAGAGAGGGAGAACACAAGCAGGCAGAGCAGCAGGCAGAGGCAGATAGAAAAGCAGCCTCCCCGCTGAGCAAGGAGCCTGATGTGGGACTCGATCCCAGGACCCTAGGATCATGACCTGAGCCGAAGGCAGCAGCTTAACCCACTGAGCCACCCAGGCATCCCAAATGACCACATTATTATCTGGAAAGATTAAATGAACTTCCACCAACAAGCAGAGGCTACAGCAAAGTACTCAAGAGAATAGGTTGTGAGTCCCATGGTTTGGGGCCCAGTCTTGGATCCCCACCCTCATCCTGGACATTGCGTTTCTGTGGTTTGGGGATTGGGGAATGCAGCAGTGGATATCCGCATGGGCCTCATGGTAAATGTAAACACGAAGCCTCTTCAGATACCAGCATGGGAACATGCCAATGACCCAAGGCCAAAAAGATGGTATATACTTTAATAATTTCCACCATGGATAGATGATGACCAAGGACTATACCAATATCTTTCACCCCTGCTCTCCACCCACATAAACTATTGATGTTAAAGGGGTGGGGAAGAGAAGGGGGAAAAAACTCAGTTGAGGGGGACGTGGGTGACTCAGTCAATTAAGCATCTGACTCTTGGTTTTGGTTCAGGTCATGATCTCAGGGTTGTGGGATCAAGCCTTGCATCAGGCTCTGCACTCATTAGGGAGTCTTGTGCTCTCTCTCTCTCTCTCCCTGTGTTCCTGCCCCTGCTTGTGTATGTTCTCTCTCTCTCTCTCTCTCTCTAAAATAAATAAATCTTTAAAAAAAACCTCTGAGTTGACTGAGTTTATCTAAATTTATTTTGTTTCCAACCATAAGTGGAGTCTTGATACAGAAATTCAGTATAGTTTGGCAAATTATAGACATTATGTTTTTACACACTTGCATTTGGGGCCTGTAAAGTTGATTTGCACTACGATATTATCCATGATGGGATCTGAAAACATGTAGAACTGTTACTCTTTGTTATTCCCATAACAAATTTCCCATAAATTTTTCTTCTTTTTTTCCTGCTGAACTCAGAACATGCCAGGCAGCTACTCTAAGTTGACTCAACTGGAATTGACCCAAGTACTACAATGTATTTAACATTTAACACTTACAGGAATGGCTGGACTTATTTTTGTCTGCGACTCAAGGAAGTTTTGAGTTTTAGGTTATATATTCATTAAAAGTACCTGGCATACAAATATTTTAGATTTCAGTTAGGGAGAAATGTGTATCTTTAATATGCACCAAAGGAGAATGAATTGAGGCTCTAAGAGGGCCACCATATCCTACCACAGAGATGTTCCAAGAAAAGACACTTGGGATTCACCAAGAGTTTTCTCAAAATATTTGAGGTCCAACTAACAGAAGAAGTAAAGAGAAATTCAAATTACAAAATCCTACACTAAAGCATGAAGAAAACCGGTGACCTGAAAAATTTATAAAAGAGCTCCTTAGCATAAAAATATCTTAGGCAATTCTTCATAGAGTGTCTAGCTAATGTAACCTCCTCCCCCAAAATTGACTATCTCTCTGCAAGGTTGCCTGAATCGTAAGGATCACCAAAGGAAAGGAATTAAATATTAGGTAATAGAGATTAATGCTAGTGAGAATCTACCAAAATGGGTTACTTTAGTTATGGATCACAGTTGGCCCTCGAACAACATGGGGATTAGGGGCACTGATTCCCTGCACAATGGAAATCTGTATATAACTTTTGATTCTCCCCAAACTTATGAATTATGAATTATGAATAATTCACAATTGACTAGAATCCCTACCAATAACATAAACAGTTGATTATGACAACTTTGTATGTTATATATTATATTGTTACAATAAAGTAAGGGAGAAAATGTTATTAATAAAATTACAAAGGAAATATATTTACAGTAGTTTACTATATTTACTGAAAAAAACCCACACATAAGTGAACTCATATAGCTCAAACCCATGTTGTTCAAGGGTCAGCTGTGGCTCAAAGTCATTTTTTCATAGTAATTAAAGAATATTGCAACTCATTTCATTTGTCTGTGTCTAATAACTAAAAATTAAGCCATGTGATCTCCAAATAAAATAGTGCTAATATTTTTCTCCTTTATACTGAAAGAAGGGAGTAAGAGAGCTGTGAGAGGGAGCAAATGCATTTATCTTATCTAAAATGCATGCATCTTATAGGAGTGTCTTATAAAACAGTAAAAATCTAATTTCTTTTTTAAAAAAAGATTTTATTTATTTATTTGGCAGAGACAGAGAGCACAAGTAGGCAGAGAGGCAGGCAGAGGGCGAGGGGGAAGCAGGCTCCCTGCCGAGCAGAGAGCCCAATGTGGGGCTTGACCCAGGACCCTGAGATCATGACCCGAGCTGAAGACAGAGGCTTAACCCACTAAGCCACCCAGGTGCCCCTAAAAAAAAAATCTAATTTCTATGTCTACAGAAATTTCAGGGAAGAACAGTTGTCCTCTAAACACACATACACATACATGAAGACACACGGTTGTTATTTTGTTTCTACTGAAGTACACCCTGTCACTTTGGTGCTAAAGAAAAAAGCAAGTACTCACGAATGGCATTAAGAGTCGTGCTTGCCCAGTTCTGGATGTAGGTATTTATGTGTGCGTCTAATTTAATCCTGAGATTTCTGATCAGATGTACTAGGTTAAGGGAGATACTGAGAGTCAGTCATGAAATAGCCTGATGTGCAGTCAGTTCGGAGAAATTGGGAAATTTAAATTAAAATGGGAATTGACTTCTTAGGAATTTTAGAGAGGACATGATGGTTAACCTGTCACCTGGGAAGTGTTCTTTTCGGGAGAATAAACTAAACATTAATATGCAGTCTCCGTGAAATTTGAAGGAAAAATCCGGACAGAATTCTAATGTTATTACAGAATGTTCTTTTGGAACGTAGTAAGGGAACACTTCTGTAATCACAGAATATAAAGCAAAGGGCAATTAGGTTCCAACATACCCATGTTCATAACATAGCATTGAAGTTACTATTTATGTGATATTAGGTAAATCACCAAGCTGAGTTCTGTCTTCTCATCAGTGACACAGACATCATAGCACATATCTTGTAAAGAGGTAATGCCACTCAGTGAGAGAAAACACCACTAGCACTTGTCACAGACCAAATGCTCAATAAATGTTAATCTCTTTTCTTGTTTCACAGGAAATTTCTATTCCTTTCTCCCCACCCAGAAATTTCTACAGTCACCTTTAAAGATTCAGGAAGGCTCTTCCTCAGGGATTTCTCCAGTGTCTGCAGCATCTGGGCACCTTGCAATAGGAACATTGTGGAAGATACTGTAGCCTAGAGGAAGAACCAAGAAATAGCCAGGAATGAGAAGAAGCTGGAGGAGATTCAAAAAAATGAGTAGTAAATTCTCGTCCAATGATCAGGTCCCCCTTCCGTGTCTCTTCATCCGTGTGAGCATCACTAAAGTCTTCACCAGCTCCAGGGAAGGCTGAGCATGGTAGAAAGCACAGGAGGCTCTTTCTACATGTTTTTAGTTCACTTTCTTACCCTTCAGTGTATTCCAGCTGTCAGTTTCACTTTAGATTAACAAGCACATTTTCTTTTGAAATTCATTTGCCATTAGTGATTCTTCTGGCTCCACCAGGGAAGAGCTATGTAACAGTGGAGAAGGAAGTTACTCTTTCTGGGCCTTGGTTTCCTCTGTTAACCTCACAAATAAAACTGTCAGTCATTTTACCATCAAAAATGGCTGATTGGGACTAGCAAAGAATTGCAGTTCAGGATAAGGAAGCTGTAGAAAATGGTAGGCAAGTCTGGAGAACAACGGAGAGGAACACTTATTTATATAAGTCAGAGAGAAGTTGGGAAGGCTGTTCTAAACAAAAGGTCTATTGGAGGAAAGAAAAGGTGCCAAGTATAGAGGCTTTTGATTGGCTGAGTTGTGGTCATGGTCATTGCTCACTGGGAGTAAGGCGGTGCTTACTTACTGTTGGGCCCGCTGTGAATGCAAGGGAGAGTAGTATGGCCAGGGCTCCCTCTGCTGGCTTCCTGAGTCCATTCGAAAGGATTCCTTTTGTTGATTTTCACAACCTCAAAAAAAGATGGGCTAGTAGTCCTATCTACTTGATAGAATTTTTGTGGGGACTAAATGAGTTAATACATTAAATGAGTCAATAAGGGCTTTGAAGACTATCTCTCATATAGTCAGCATTGAACGTGCTATTTTTTTTAAAGAGTTTTATTTATTTATTTGACAGAGATCACAAGTAGGCAGAGAGGCAGGCAGAGAGAGAGGAAGGGAAGCAGGCTCCCTGCTGAGCAGAGAGCCTGACTCAGGGCTCGATTCCAGGACCCTGAGATCATGAAGGCAGAGGCTTAACCCACTGAGCCACCCAGGCACCCCTGGACATGTTATTTTATTACAACTATCCCTGCTCCTTCTCCCTCTCTTCTTCCTTCCCATCCTTTTCTGTCCCCTCCTCTTCCTCTTCTTCCATCCCACCTGAGTTAAAGTGCTACGTATTGCAAGCTGTTTTGCTGCAGTCTTTTCAATGTGGGCATTAGTACATGGTCTAAAATGTAAACAAACCTATTAAAAAATTTCCAGGCTATATTCCAAACTGGTATTTACCACCACCACCACCCCCCTTTTAAGCCTTACACCATCTCAAAACCTCGTTCTTACACCTATGGTGCATATTGTACAGATTACTAGGTAGAATAAATATAGCATTTTTTCATATTTGATTCACTGCCTGAAATTGGGATTATCAAAACATTCTATAAAATCTCAACCACATGGAAAAGAAGAAAAGAGCCCGTGTCACAGCACTGTACTTTGGAACTATGATCTTTGGAGGAGTACAAAGTCCCTTCTAAGTGAAGGCACCAAAGAAGTGATCTGAGAAGATGTTGCATTAAAACCAACTGTGAGTGAGATGCCATGCTCAGGTCAGAACTGGGTAACTTTGTAACTCAAACGGCAGGGAGGAGGCTTCTGCTTCTGGCCAAGCTAAGGTAACAGGATCTGGACTCACCATCTCACCTGGAAAAAAAAATGACAGAACTAAACAGCAAATGACGGGGTGCCTGGCTGCCTCAGGTGGTTAAGCTGAAGGTCAGGTCATGATCCCAGGTCCTGCTCAGTGGGGAGCCTGCTTCTCCCACTCCCTCTGCTTGTGCACCCTCTGTCTCTCTCTCTCTCTCTTTCTGCCAAATAAAATATTTTTTTAAAAGAGATCAAATACTTAGAAAAAAAAAAAAAAAACAAAAAACTAAACAGCAAATGAAACAACATCGCGCAGCACAGAACTGCCAACCCTAGAAAAGGAAGAGAAAAGGTGAGCTTCATGATTGCATCTGCTTGCTTGAAGGCTGCAGCTCCAGGAAATGGAACCAGACCAGACCACAGCAGTCTCACTGACTTGAGCATACAGAGATAGAGGCCAGCATGGAGCTCCAGAAAGAGAGAAAGCAGGGGCTGGGGAGAGAGAATAAGAAAGACAGAAAATGAGAGAGAGAGTTCTGGAGATCTTTGGGAAAGAGCAGCCTCCTACAGTCTTTGGCTTGTCGCTGAACTGTGTAAGGGGAGACTACCTTGGCCTTTATCCTAGGAAAAGAACCACTGGAAAAGATCAGGTGGAAAAATTCTGATAGCTCACACAAGTCTAGGAAGAGTTTGTATTCTGACAGGCTGAAGTGGAAAGACCTTGTAACATAAGGGCATCAGGTGAGATACTCAGCAGAGGATTGAATTCAGACTTGTCTGTTCTAAATCCACCCTACCCTGGTTAAAAGCAAGTCTTGAAATGATCATCTCATTCCAATAGCTTAACTATGCACCAAAACAAAATGCAACACTATAAGTCTATCAACTCATAGTTATGATTCACATTGTCTAGCATCCAATAAAAAATGCTAGGCATGGAAAGAATCAGGAAATCATGATCCATAAGCAGGAGAAAAAAAAAAAAACAGTAAAAACGGACCCAGAGGAGAAGAGAGAAGAACCACATGGTCCTCTCAATTGATGCAGAAAAAGCATTTGACAAAATCCAGCATCCATTCCTGATTAAAATGCTTCAAAGTATAGGGATAGAGGGAACATTCCTGAACTTCATAAAATCTATCTATGAAAGACCCACAGCAAATATCATCCTCAATGGGAAAATGCTTGCAGCCTTCCCGTTGAGATCAGGAATACGACAGGGATGCCCACTCTCACCACTCTTGTTCAACATAGTATTAGAAGTCCTAGCAACATCAATCAGACAACAAAGAGAAATAAAAGGTATCCAGATTGGCAATGAAGAAGTCAAACTCTCTCTCTTCGCAGATGACATGATTCTTTATATGGAAAACCCAAAAGACTCCACTCCCAAACTACTAGAACTCATACAGCAATTCAGTAACGTGGCAGGATACAAAGTCAATGTACAGAAATCAGTGGCTTTCTTATACACTAACAATGAAAATACAGAAAGAGAAATTAGAGAATCGATTCCATTTACTATAGCACCACGAACCATAAGATACCTGGGAATAAACCTAACCAAAGAGGTAAAGGATCTGTACTTGAGGAACTACAGAACACTCATGAAAGAAATTAAAGAAGACACAAAAAGATGGAAGAATATTCCATGCTCTTGGATCGGAAGAATAAACATTGTTAAAATGTCTATACTGCCTAGAGCAATCTATACTTTTAATGCCATTATGATCAAAATTCCACCGGTATTTTTCAAAGAGCTGGAGCAAATAATCCAAAAATTTGTATGGAATCAGAAGAGACTTCGAATCACTAAGGAAATGTTGAAAAACAAAAATAAAACTGGGGGCATCACGTTACCTGATTTCAAGCTTTACTACAAAGCTGTGATCACTAAGACAGCATGGTACTGGCATAAAAACAGACACATAGACCAGTGGAACAGAGTAGAGAGCCCTGATATGGACCCTCAACTCTATGGGCAAATAATCTTTGACAAAACAGGAAAAAATATAGATTGGAAAAAAGACAGTCTCTTCAATAAATGGTGCTGGGAAAACTGGGCAGCTAGATGTAGAAGAATGAAACTCGACCATTCTCTTACACCATACACAAAGATAAACTCAAAATGGATAAAAGACCTCGTGAGACAGGAATCCATCAGAATCCTAGGGGAGAACATAGGCAGTAACCTCTTCGATATCAGCCACAGCAACTTCTTTCAAGACATGTCTCCAGAGGCAAAGGAAACAAAAGTGAAAACGAACTTTTGGGACTTCATCAAAATCAAAAGCTTCTGCACAGCAAAGGAAACAGTCAACAAAACAAAGAGGCAACACACGGAATGGGAGAAGATATTTGCAAATGACAGTACAGACAAAAGGTTGATATCCAGGATCTATAAAGAACTCCTCAAACTCAACACACACAAAACAGACAATCATATAAAAAAAAAAATGGGCAGAAGATATGAACAGACACTTCTCCAATGAAGACATACAAATGACTATCAGACACATGAAAAAATGTTCATCATCACTAGCCATCAGGGAGATTCAAATTAAAACCACATTGAGATACCACCTTACACCAGTTAGAATCGCCAAAATTAGCAAGACAGGAAACAACATGTGTTGGAGGGGATGTGGAGAAAGGGGAACCCTCTTACACTGTTGGTGGGAATGCAAGTTGGTGCAGCCACTTTGGAGAACAGTGTGGAGATTCCTCAAGAAATTAAAAATAGAGCTTCCCTATGACCCTGCCATTGCACTACTAGGTATTTACCCCAAATATATAGATGTAGTGAAAAGAAGGGCCATCTGTACCCCAATGTTTATAGCAGCAATGGCCACGGTCACCAAACTGTGGAAAGAACCAAGATGCCCTTCAACGGACGAATGGATAAGGAAGATGTGGTCCATATACACTATGGAGTATTATGCCTCCATCAGAAAGGATGAATACCCAACTTTTGGATCAACATGGACGGGACTGGAAGAGATTATGCTGAGTGAAATAAGTCAAGCAGAGAGAGTCAATTATCATAGGGTTTCACTTATTTGTGGAGCATAACAAATAGCATGGAGGACAAGGGGAGATGGAGAGGAGAAGGGAGTTGAGGGAAATTGGAAGGGGAGGTGAACCATGAGAGACTATAGACTCTGAAAAACAATCTGAGGGTTTTGAAGGGGTGGAGGGTGGGAAGTTGGGGGAACTAGGTGGTGGGTATTGGAGAGGGCACGGATTGTATGGAGCACTAGGTGTGGTGCAAAAACAATACTGTTACGCTGAAAATAAATTAAAAAACAAAACAAAACAACAATTTTGACCATAGGCCTAGCAATGTCTCCTCTGGGTCCGTTTTTTTGTTTGTTTGGTTTGTTTTGTTTTGTTTTTCTGTTACAACAGTGCCTCTTCCCTGTTGTAAGAGTCTCTCCCACTCTTTGCAATACTTGCAGATAAAGTTTCTCCTTGCCTAAAGAAATAAAAATGGGTAGATGCAGAGCTGTTGGAACTAGCAAACAAGGACATTAAATAGCTATAATAATATTACTCCTCATATTTAAGAACATAAATGACCACATGATCATGAGAAGAAAAATGGAAGACATAAAAAAGATGCATATGGAACTTATACAAATGAAAACATATAGCACCTGAAATGAAAGATACACTGGCTGTTTTTAGCAGTAGATTAGATATTGCAAAAGAAAAGATCAATGAAATTGAAGATGCAGCAGTTGAAACTATCCATAAAAATACATGAAAGGGGAAAAGGATCAGAAGATTTACTATTGTTAGTATGTCATCATTTCTCCCCCAAACTGATCTATAGTTTCAAATTAGCCATAAAACATCCCAAGTCTTATTTGTAGAAAGTCACAGATTCTAAAATTTACATGATTTCAGGGCTTACTAGAAAGCCACTGTAATCATCATAGAGGAGTCTTGGCATAAAGAAAAATAAACCAATGAAATGGAATAGAGAGCCCAGAAATAGATAGACATTTGTGGTCATTTGATTTGCTACCAAGATGTCTAGGGGCGCCTGGGTGGCTCAGTTGGTTAAGCGACTACCTTTGGCTCAGGTCATGATCCTGGAGTCCTGGGATTGAGTCCTGCATTAGGCTCCCTGCTTGGCAGGGAGTTTGCTTCCCCTCAAACCCTCCCCCTTCTCATCCTTT